CCATCTCCTGCTATCCAGAGCAGTTCGGGTAAAGTGTCATGCTCAAGAACAGAACCACCACACACATGTCCATTGTTAGCTTCCTGAGAAATGATGGACTCTGGACATAAGAGAAGAAAAAATAGAAGAAAAAAAAATCTATCGCATTGCAAACCCCCAGATGCCGTTGTATATTTATATTAACAAATCTCAAGTTCTGCTTTAGAAAGGACAATCCAAATCAGACCTTTTCTATAGGTATGTTTTAAGAAAAGAAACATTTTGTCATTACAAGGAACTTGGTAATGTCCTGTTGATTAATGGGTCTGATCTACTTATTAATGTTGAGACGAACACCATCATAGTCATGGCAGCCTTTTTAACTGCTATGTTGTTACTCACGGTTTTAAAAATGAGATTATACGACATATGGTGAAATTCTGGTGCGGAAAGGTCATCCCCTATGTAAAACTAAGGACATACGATGTACGTTATATAAAATGGCTACAGGTGACAGAGTTTTACGTCTGTAGCTGTACAATGTTTCATTGTATAACTGATATTTATCTTAAAGCTGTACACATTTTCCCACAGATGCCACGCCCTCAGAGAAACGTTTTCACGTGTTCACTACGTTTAATATATTTTCTTCTGAATGAGCTTCTTGTTTGAGGATATATATCATTACATGTGTGACAGCTCAAGGAGTCACTTTAATCTTAATGTCCAAATACGATATGTCTGGCACGGACGATGTTTGATTACCTTAGAAACGGAACTCTCATATTTATGAGTTAGTCAACCCAGTTATCATCATAAGTCTCAGTCTTAGTTTGGTTTCAGATTTAAACTTTGAAAATGAATTATTATCTTTATGGACAAGCGGGTATTTTAATATCTGTTAAGGGCAGGGATTTGTTTTTAATATTTGGAATTATTCATTTTTTTTTTTGAGAAAATAATTTCTAACACCTGAAATAAAGATGATAGTATGTACAGATTACGTTAAAACTGATATCGCTGATCGGAACACTCTTTATGACTGACTATTGAATGAGTTGTATAAAGTTTTATAGAACAACATTCGTCCTAGTCAAAAACTATGTGCCATGTCTACTTTTGTTTCATTTTATGAATTTGTTTGATATTTAAAAATGAAGTTTTGAAAAATGAGCATTCAGTATTATCACTTCTTAAAGAGCACCAATAAATTTTGTCTTGTCTTTGTCAATAAAACCGATATTTCGTATTTTTCAAATATTGACATTAAATTTTCAAACTTAACATAGTTTTATGTTATGTAGGTTGTCATGTCTAAAAAGTGTCTTTAGAGGTACAAGTGACATGTCCGCTCTCATACCAGTTCAACTGGGATTTTATCTACCTGTGTAACTAACAGGCGTATTTATTCACCTTGTGGGGGGATGGTTATATAGATATCACAACACAGTCCTTATCATACCAGAAACAGACACCGAGGGGACTCCGTGAGAACACATACTGTAGATAGGACCTGGTCGGTAACATAAATTGTACTATTATATACCTGCCATTCAAAGTTGGTTAAACCAGAGACGAATATAATAACAACAGAGACGTATGGTTAAACATCATGACCGGAGGACAAGGTCAAGAGTTTTTGTGAGATATAGAAATCTTTTTCTCGCGGTCATCATATTCTTATAACAATTTGACGAGAGCTATATTTGTGATGATGTGTATTATGCAATATTTGTGTTTGACTGAGGTGTATGTTGATTTTTATTTTTCGATAAGCATCAATATCTACCGAACGTAAGGACGATAATGAAGGCTGCCGGAAGTACAGTTAAACTGTTTATTTCATAACGTCCTACAAGAATTTGCTTCAATATATACTATATTACAGAATGAACCATGAAGTAATAAACGATTGTATGACGTCATAATTGATATTGGTATCATGTTAGATCAAGATATTTCAAATAGTCACGTGATCCATGAATGCTCTAGTATAATTATAACTATAAGCGACACGACACTAATGTCCTAAATCTGATCTGAAATAGAGACCTGTATTTAAGTTCTGTCTATGTACCTAAAGACATGAAATAAATAATTTAACCTTGACATAAAAACAAATATGATAGAAACTTTCTCATGACCTTCACATAAGTAAAACGCATGGATTAAGTTAACATTCTGAAGGTCAAATGACAAAGAAGAAAAGAGAAAAACAAAACAAAGAAACAGCAAATTGAAGCGAATTTCTGATGACATGTGTAGATATAATTCTTGGCTAAATCAGCAACAACTGTAATGTCACGTGACCGGCGTTAACATACACAATGCTGGTAACAGATATACCAGGGTATCTCTCTACTGACCATATGTACAGCATCACACCGGTATCATATCTGATCACTGCGTGTTTAAAATTCCTGCATTGTTGTGAAGCAAGCTCTCTGAAATGTATCCTTGTCAGTTTTCACGGCTGGATGACTCTACCTACAAGATAATAACATATTTCACTGTTGCGTTGTATATCTACTTTTACGATCGCCATAGTAATTTCATTGAAAAATATTCTATTTTTTTTTTTTTTTTGTGATACGAAGCTGGACGTGTTTGTTGCTTGTAAGTTTTCCTGTTCGCTCCTTGGTTGTGTACCTTGTTCTCATTTGAGAACTGTACATTATTTACTAGGACAGACCAAGATTTACATGGCGGGGGTCATCGATGAAGAAGAAGACGCATAGTCTTCCGAAACACCTGGTCTTATTATCCTTGTAATTTTTCAGAGGTCTACGTTTAAATCTGTCTTTTGCTCACATTTCCCCTGGTTTTATGGAATTGATGACTATGTTCACATGTTGGTATTGTCTGTGTTGCTTTAGTGTGTTGTTGATGTTTTGAATCATGAGATTTCCTTCCTAAATCATGTACTCCATTACAGAGTAAACTTTCAGGCTATTTCTATGTTTTGAATATAAATTAAGTTATTTTTTTTCTTTTAATTTTGGTGACTCCATGGACTTTGACATTCAAAATAGATTCAAGCAAAACGATTCTTCGTTCTCTCTCTCCGTACTCTAGGTATGTCCTCTAGTTTCTGTCCTCCATTCCGTACTCTCTAGGTTTGTTGTCTAGTTTCTGTCCCTCCATTCCTTACTCTCTAGGTATGTTCTCTAGTTTCTGTCCCTCCATTCCGTACTCTCTAGGTTTGTTGTCTAGTTTCTGTCTCTCCATTCCGTACTCTCTAGGTTTGTTCTTTCGTTTCTGTCCCTCCATTCCGTACTCTCTAGGTTTGTTCTCTAGTTTCTGTCCCTCCATTCCGTACTCTCTAGGTTTGTTCTTTCGTTTCTGTCCCTCCATTCCTTACTCTCTAGGTTTGTTCTTTCGTTTCTGTCCCTCCATTCCGTATTCTCTAGGTTTGTCCTCTAGATTCTGTCCCTCCATTCCGTACTCTCTAGGTTTGTTCTTTCGTTTCTGTCCCTCCATTGTCCCTCCATTCCGTACTCTCTAGGTTTGTTCTCTAGTTTCTGTCCCTCCATTCCGTACTCTCTAGGTTTGTCCTCTAGTTTCTGTCCCTCCATTCCGTACTCTCTAGGTTTGTCCTCTAGTTTCTGTCCCTCCATTCCGTACTCTCTAGGTTTGTCCTCTAGTTTCTGTCCCTCCATTCCGTACTCTCTAGGTTTGTCCTCTAGTTTCTGTCCCTCCATTCCGTACTCTCTAGGTTTGTTGTCTAGTTTCTGTCTCTCCATTCCGTACTCTCTAGGTTTGTTGTCTAGTTTCTGTCCCTTCATTCCGTCCTCTCTAGGTCTGTTGTCTAGTTTCTATCTCTCCATTCCGTACTCTCTCGGTTTGTCCTCTAGTTTTTGGCTCTCCATTCCGCACTCTCTAGGTTTGTCCTCTAGTTTCTGTCCCTCCATTCCGTACTCTCTAGGTATGTCCTCTAGTTTCTATGCCTCCATTCCGTCCTCTCTAGGTTTGTCCTCTAGTTTCTGTCCCTCCATTCCATCCTCTCTAGGTTTGTCCTCTAGTTTCTGTCCCTCCATTCCGTACTCTCTAGGTTTGTTCTCTAGTTTCTGTCCCTCCATTCCTTACTCTCTAGGTTTGTCCTCTAGTTTCTGTCCCTCCATTCCGTACTCTCTAGGTTTGTTCTCTAGTTTCTGTCCCTCCATTCCGTACTCTCTAGGTTTGTCCTCTAGTTTGTCCTCTAGTTTCTGTCCCTCCATTCCGTACTCTCTAGGTTTGTCCTCTAGTTTCTGTCCCTCCATTTCGTACTCTCTAGGTTTGTCCTCTAGTTTCTGTCCCTCCATTCCGTACTCTCTAGGTATGTCCTCTAGTTTCTATGCCTCCATTCCGTCCTCTCTAGGTTTGTCCTCTAGTTTCTGTCCCTCCATTCCGTACTCTCTAGGTTTGTCCTCTAGTTTCTGTCCCTCCATTCCGTACTCTCTAGGTTTGTCCTCTAGTTTCTGTCCCTCCATTCCGTACTCTCTAGGTTTGTTCTCTAGTTTCTGTCCCTCCATTCCTTACTCTCTAGGTTTGTCCTCTAGTATCTGTCCCTCCATTCCGTACTCTCTAGGTTTGTTGTCTAGTTTCTGTCCCTCCATTCCGTACTCTCTAGGTTTGTCCTCTAGTTTCTGTCCCTCCATTCCGTACTCTCTAGGTTTGTTCTCTAGTTTCTGTCCCTCCATTCCGTACTCTCTAGGTTTGTGTTGTCCTCTAGTTTCTGTCCCTCCATTCCGTACTCTCTAGGTTTGTCCTCTAGTTTCTGTCCCTCCATTCCGTACTCTCTAGGTTTGTCCTCTAGTTTCTGTCCCTCCATTCCGTACTCTCTAGGTTTGTCCTCTAGTTTCTGTCCCTCCATTCCGTACTCTCTAGGTTTGTCCTCTTGTTTCTCTCCCTCCATTCCGTACTCTCTAGGTTTGTCCTCTAGTTTCTGTCCCTCCATTCCGTACTCTCTAGGTTTGTCCTCTAGTTTCTGTCCCTCCATTCCGTACTCTCTAGGTTTGTCTAGTTTCTGTCCCTTGTACTCTCTAGGTTTGTTCTAGTTTCTGTCCCTCCATTCCGTTCTCTCTAGGTTTGTCCTCTAGTTTCTGTCCCTCCATTCCGTACTCTCTAGGTTTGTCCTCTAGTTTCTGTCCCTCCATTCCGTACTCTCTAGGTTTGTCCTCTAGTTTCTGTCCCTCCATTCCGTACTCTCTAGGTTTGTTGTCTAGTTTCTGTCCCTCCATTCCGTATTCTCTAGGTTTGTCGTCTAGATTCTGTCCCTCCATTCCGTACTCTCTAGGTTTGTCCTCTAGTTTCTGTCCCTCCATTCCGTACTCTCTAGGTTTGTCCTCTAGTTTCTGTCCCTCCATTCCGTACTCTCTAGGTTTGTCCTCTAGTTTCTGTCCCTCCATTCCGTACTCTCTAGGTTTGTTCTCTAGTTTCTGTCCCTCCATTCCTTACTCTCTAGGTTTGTCCTCTAGTTTCTGTCCCTCCATTCCGTACTCTCTAGGTTTGTCCTCTAGTTTCTGTCCCTCCATTCCGTACTCTCTAGGTTTGTCCTCTAGTTTCTGTCCCTCCATTCCGTACTCTCTAGGTTTGTTGTCTAGTTTCTTTCCCTCCATTCCGTACTCTAGGTATGTCCTCTAGTTTCTGTCCCTCCATTCCGTACTCTCTAGGTTTGTCCTCTAGTTTCTGTCCCTCCATTCCGTACTCTAGGTATGTCCTCTAGTTTCTGTCCCTCCATTCCTCTAGTTTCTGTCCCTCCATTCCGTACTCTCTAGGTTTGTCCTCTAGTTTCTGTCCCTCCATTCCGTACTCTCTAGGTTTGTTGTCTAGTTTCTGTCCCTCCATTCCGTATTCTCTAGGTTTGTCCTCTAGATTCTGTCCCTTCATTCCGTACTCTCTAGGTTTATCCTCTAGTTTCTGTCCCTCCATTCCGTACTCTCTAGGTTTGTCCTCTAGTTTCTGTCCCTCCATTCCGTACTCTCTAGGTTTGTCCTCTAGTTTCTGTCCCTCCATTTCGTGCTCTCTAGGTTTGTTGTCTAGTTTCTATCTCTCCATTCCGTACTCTCTAGGTTTGTCCTCTAGTTTCTGTCCCTCCATTCCGTACTCTCTAGGTTTGTCCTCTAGTTTCTGTCCCTCCATTCCGTACTCTCTAGGTTTGTCCTCTAGTTTCTGTCCCTCCATTCCGTACTCTCTAGGTTTGTCCTCTAGTTTCTGTCCCTCCATTCCTTACTCTCTAGGTTTGTCCTCTAGTTTCTGTCCCTCCATTCCGTACTCTCTAGGTTTGTTGTCTAGTTTCTGTCCCTCCATTCCGTACTCTCTAGGTTTGTCCTCTAGTTTCTGTCTCTCCATTCCGTACTCTCTAGGTTTGTCCTCTAGTTTCTGTCCCTCCATTCCGTACTCTCTAGGTTTGTTGTCTAGTTTCTGTCCCTCCATTCCGTACTCTCTAGGTTTGTCGTCTAGTTTCTGTCCCTCCATTCCGTACTCTCTAGGTTTGTCCTCTAGTTTCTGTCCCTCCATTCCTTCCTCTCTAGGTTTGTCCTCTAGTTTCTGTCTCTCCATTCCGTCCTCTTTAGGTTTGTCCTCTAGTTTCTGTCTCTTCATTCCGGACTCTCTAGGTTTGTCCTCTAGTTTCTGTCTCTCCATTCCGTCTTCTCTAGGTTTGTTGTCTAGTTTCTGTCTCTCCATTCCGTCCTCTCTAGATTTCATCTGTTTTCATCCATTCTAGTTTCGCCTACCAGCTCTCTAGGTTTGTAAAATTAGTTTCTGTCCCTCCATTCCTTACTCTCTAGGTACCAACCCCGCTCTAGGTTTGTTCCTAGTTAATGGATTCCATTCCGTACTCTCTGTTGTTCTAGTTTCTCCCTCCAAACCGTTGTTTCTAGTAATTCTACTCTCTAAATAAAATGTCCCTCCATTCCAACTCTCTAGGTAGTTGTCTAGTTTATTTCTCCAAAACTCTCTAGGTTTGTGTTAAGATCTCGAATTCTCAGCTAACTTTAATCTTTCTCTCTAGGTTTGTCCTCTAGTTTTGTCCCTCCATTTCCTCTAGTTTCTGTCCCTCATTCGTACTCTCTAGGTTTTCTAGTTTCTGTCCCTCCATTCCGTACTCTCTAGGTTTGTCCTCTAGTTTCTGTATTAATTTACTCTCAGGAATGTAGTCCTGTCGGTCGGAGACCGTTTTTGCTAATATCTGTTCAAATCTGTTGTTTATCATTTATTGTGTCCCTATGGATGCTGTCCGCTATAGTCAAATGATACTAGTGTCAATTTAGGTACTGAGAAATCATCTTCTCTCCCGGCCGAAAAATATTTCTCATACCTATGACAAATTATTGTACCTGTGATAAACCTAATAAATTCTTTGTCAGCACCCCCTGGTGGAGTGACGTCGCTTCTCAGTATTGCCAGATTTACAATGACAAGATATGAAGCGGTGTTTTGATCCACTTCAAACATAATTTATCAGTTTGATCGGAAGTATGTGTGTTATTGGGTGTAGTAAATCAAATACCAGTCCCGGGAACTTTTTAATACCACCTGGTATAATGATATAGTTTTGTTGTATTGCAATTTTGTGGTTTTATAAGAACGTACACTTGACACTAGACTCCATAAATAGATTTGAACTCGCTAAACTGACTGTGATAACCGTGGATAAAAAAAAATCACGAAATCAAGGAAGTTTACCTATTCCCACCTCCGCCCACCTCCGCCCACCATCCCAACAGCTCTGCCCACCTCCGCCCACCATCCCAACAGCTCCGCCCACCTCCGCCCACCTCCGCCCACCTCCGTCCACCATCCCAACAGCTCCGCCCACCATCCCAACAGCTCCACCCACCATCCCAACAGCTCCGCCCACCTCCGCCCACCATCCCAACAGAAAGGAAGGATTTTACAGTATTGTAACGCATTGGAACTTTACAACAAACAACAGCGTTATTTCTTATGAAGTTTTAGAAATATATGAAAACAACTAATCGATTTTTGAAAATTCTAATCTAGAAAATACAAAAATATCACCTTTAATCATACAACAGATTAAATTTGTTTTGTATGAGCTCATGCATTGTTTTCTGCCACGTGTAAAACACTTTATGACATCATAACTACATGATGTCGTGTGTTTTCTTTGAACCGAAAAGTTCAATGTCCGTTTCTAAATTCATCGTTCTTTCAGATATAGAAAAATGTAAAAAAAAAAAAATAATGATTGAAAAAAGATGTTTATCTTTTCAAGAAAGTATCAAATATGATCAAATAATTTTTGTATTCGTATCAATGTTTGACGTCATCAGTATTTTGACAAGACACTTTTATAAAGTAATAAGATACTGAGATTCATATCATATTCTTTCTGTAAAGACTTTAGTGTTATTTCTTGATTGAAAATTAAACTGTATCTACACACCATTTTCATCATCATCATCATCATCATCATCATCATCATCATCATCATCATCATCATCATCATCATCATCACCATCATCATCACCATTATCGTCGTCGTCGTCGTCGTCGGCGGCGGCGGCGGCCGTGGATGCGTCGCTGTTGCCGCCTCCTCTATCACTATCAATTCTCGCTCAAAAAGCGATTATGAAAGGCTGTTCGTGTTAAATAAAAAAAAATTAACATCGCTTGCGTGTTTTCGTCAATAATGATGTCTAAATTAAGCTCAAAGATTTAATGTCATTTACCATTTGTTTTGATTTTTTCCCGTGTGTGAGCTTAGAAGGCTATTGATGTTTATCAACTGGCAAAACAAATATATCTTATAACCACCTTTTCACAATAACAACATACCTTATAACGACCTTTTTACAATATCAACATACCTTATAACCACCTTTTCACAATAACAACATACCTTATAACCACCTTTTCACAATAACAACATACCTTATAACCACCTTTTCATAATAACAACATACCTTATAACGACCTTTTTACAATAAAAACATACCTTATAACCACCTTTTTACAATATCAACATACCTTATAACCACCTTTTTACATTATCAACATACCTTATAACCACCTTTTTCAACATACCTTATAACCATTATCAACATACCTTATAACCACCTTTTCACAATAACAACATACCTTATAACCACCTTTTTACAATAAAAACATACCTTATAACCACCTTTTTACAATATCAACATACCTTATAACCACCTTTTCACAATAACAATATATCTTATAACCACCTTTTACATTATCAACATACCTTATAACCACCTTTTTACAACATCAACATACCTTATAACCACCTTTTCACAATAACAACATACCTTATAACGACCTTTTTACAACATCAACATACCTTATAACCACCTTTTCACAATAACAACATACCTTATAACGACCTTTTTACAACATCAACATACCTTATAACCACCTTTTCACAATAACAACATACCTTATAACCACCTTTTTACATTATCAACATACCTTATAACCACCTTTTTACATTATCAACATACCTTATAACCACCTTTTTACATTATCAACATACCTTATAACCACCTTTTTACATTATCAACATACCTTATAACCACCTCTTACATTATTAACATACCTTATAACCACCTTTTACATTATCAACATACCTTATAACGACCTTTTACATTATCAACATACCTTATAACCACCTTTTTACATTATCAACATACCTTATAACCACCTTTTCACAATAACCACCTCTTACATTATCAACATACCTTATAACCACCTTTTCAACATACCTTATAAACCTTTTTACATTATCAACATACCTTATAACAATAACAACATACCTTATAACCACCTTTTACATTATCAACATACCTTATAACCACCTTTTTACAATCAACATACCTTACAACATACCTTATAACGACCCTTTTTACAATTATCAACATACCTTATAACCACCTTATAACCACCTTTTTACATAACAACATACCTTATAACCACCTTTTTACTTATAAACCTTTTTACAATATCAACATACCTTATAACCACCTTTTCACAATAACAACATACCTTATAACCACCTCTTACATTATTAACATACCTTATAACCACCTTTTCACAATAACAACATACCTTATAACGACCTTTTTACAACATCAACATACCTTATAACCACCTTTTACATTATCAACATACCTTATAACCATACCTTTTTACATTATCAACATACCTTATAACGACCTTTTACATTATCAACATACCTTATAACCACCTTTTTACATTATCAACATACCTTATAACCACCTTTTACATTATCAACATACCTTATAACCACCTTTTTACATTATCAACATACCTTATAACCACCTTTTTACATTATCAACATACCTTATAACCACCTCTTACATTATCAACATACCTTATAACCACCTTTTACATTATCAACATACCTTATAACCACCTTTTTACATTATCAACATACCTTATAACCACCTTTTTACATTATCAACATTATCAACATACCTTATAACCACCTTTTACATTATCAACATACCTTATAACCACCTTTTACATTATCAACATACCTTATAACCACCTTTTTACATTATCAACATACCTTATAACCACCTTTTACATTATCAACATACCTTATAACCACCTCTTACATTATCAACATACCTTATAACCACCTTTTTACATTATCAACATACCTTATAACCACCTTTTCACAATAACAACATACCTTATAACCACCTTTTTACATTATCAACATACCTTATAACCACCTTTTACAATATCAACATACCTTATAACCACCTTTTTACATTATCAACATACCTTATAACCACCTTTTTACATTATCAACATACCTTATAACCACCTTTTTACATTATCAACATACCTTATAACCACCTTTTTACATTATCAACATACCTTATAACCACCTTTTACAATATCAACATACCTTATAACCACCTTTTTACATTATCAACATACCTTATAACCACCTTTTTACAACATCAACATACCTTATAACCACCTTTTCACAATAACAACATACCTTATAACGACCTTTTTACAACATCAACATACCTTATAACCACCTTTTCACAATATCAACATACCTTATAACCACCTCTTACATTATCAACATACCTTATAACCACCTTTTTACATTATCAACATACCTTATAACCACCTTTTTACATTATCAACATACCTTATAACCACCTTTTACATTATCAACATACCTTATAACGACCTTTTTACATTATCAACATACTTTATAACGACCTTTTGACATTATCAACATACCTTATAACCACCTTTTTACATTATCAACATACCTTATAACCACCTTTTACAATATCAACATACCTTATAACCACCTTTTTACATTATCAACATACCTTATAACGACCTTTTTACATTATCAACATACCTTATAACCACCTTTTTACAATAACAACATATTTATAACCACCTTTTTACAATAACAACATACCTTATAACGACATTTCTACAACATCAACATACCTTATAACCACCTTTTCACAATATCAGCATACCTTATAACCACCTTTTTACAATAACAACATACCTTAGAACCACCTTTTTACAATATCAACATACCTTATAACCACCTTTTTGCAATATCAACATACCCTAAAACGACCTTTTTACAATATCAACATACCTTATAACCACCTTTTTTTACAATATCA